TTTTTTTTTGATAGTGATTTTAATCACTGTCAGATATCATTATACTTGATCCAACTATGCCACGTCACCACTGTGCCGCGACCCCCCTGTGCTGGGTTTTTTTAATTCTTTAAAGTTGATTTTTGTGAATGTTTATAATGAAAAAAAAATTAATTTATTACCATAACTTTTAGCTCAACTTGCAAGTTTGAAATTGACATCAATAAATAGAAAATTGTATAAGAATTAAAAACATTGTATCGTTAAGATTAATATGCAGTCAAGAAATTTTATAACTTAAGATAACTTCAATAATTTTATAACTTAAATAATAATAATAGTAATCATATCCTAGTAATTTTTGGTGTTAAAAAAATTCTACAATTGAAATATCCAGAACTGAATTAATTTTAATGATTTACTTGAACTAAAAAAACCAATATAAAAAAGGTTGTTAAAAAGATCTACTCAATAGAGCATATTATAAAATTTAAATATAATTGTAAAAATCCATTGTTAATTCAGGAGAAAATAATAATCATAAATCATTTTTAAAAAATATAAATGTTGCTATATAAATAGTAACATATTACCAAAAAGTTTGAAATATTATAGTATAGTAGTAGCACACACAAATAGAGTAAAAAAATTATTAAATTACAAAGTTAAAAGATTTAATATTGTAGTTGAAACCTATCATATCAATAAATAAGCTAGTTCAAATTTCAATGTTATTTTTCTCAATTTAAAAAAGTTTAAATAAGTTTAACTTTCTATGCTATATTAATTTGATTTATATAAAATTTATGAAAATCATCGTACTCCCCTTATCAGGTATTTTAAAGTAAAATAAAATACAAAACCCAGAATATTAACACAAAAATAGCTTATTTTTGAATACAGTAGTCATTTTCACCATGAAGACAAATTCAGTGGTCAAATTTTTTTTTTCAAATTAAAGTGTATTACACAAGTTTTAATTTAAGATATACAGGGTGATTTTTTTATCATAACCCACTCAATTACTTGCAGAATAATAATAATTTAAACATTTTTTTTTTTTATTATCTTTAGTTACACATTATTCTTGAATTTTTAACTATGTAATACTTTTTAAGTTCATCCCTTATGCCTTGGAGGGGGGTCAACTTTGTTTTTTTAAATGGTAACACATATTTTTAATTTAATAAAATGTTTGAGTTTTTAATTTAATAGTAAATGGCATTTGAATTTTTAATATAACTTTATTAGCTTATTAGATATAAACATTTAAAGTTTCAAAATTTTGAGTTAATATACATGTATAATACACATGGGATTGTAAATACAGGTAGCTAATTGGATTTTTATGACATTGCTGTCTCAGTCACGGATTGTTTATTATCAATTATGATTATCAATAGATATACTTTCTGTATTGTCAGTTAGTGTATTTATAAACTCATAACAATGTGCCTTACTATAATTGATAATAACAATGCTGTGTACCTGCTAATATCGATGTTATAAAAAACCAATTAGCTACCTGTATTTGTAATCCCTTGTGTATTATACCTGTATATTAATTCAAAAATTTGAAACTTTAAATGATTATATCTAATAAACGAATTAAGTTATATTAAAAATTCAAATGCCATTTACTATTAAATTAAAAACTCAAACATTTTATTAAATTAAAAATATGTGTTACCATTTAAAAAAACAAAGTTGACCCCCTTCCAAGGAATAAGGGATGAACTTAAAAAGTATTACATAGTTAATAATTCAAGAATAATGTGTAACTAAAGATAATAAAAAAAAAAATGTTTAAATTATTATTATTCTGTAAGTAATTGAGTGGGTTATGATAAAAAAATCACCCTGTATATAAAAGTGTCAGTATTTCCGGAACAATTTCAAAAATTAAATTAAAAATGTTTTATTTTCAATATGCATGTTTAAAGTTTTGACCAACTTGTATAAAGGGATATGATCCGATTAAAAAAAAAGTGTGTTAGATGAAAGGGGTATATAAAAATTATTTATAAAGAATAATAATATTGATCCATATATTTAAAAGTTATAGCACTATAAATTTAAAAACATTTTTAAGTATTTGTATATTGTGTTATCTCTATGGTACACCTAATATAACTGTTTTAATGTTATTCATACAAAGTTTTAATTTAAATAATAATTAAGGTTTTTATTCATCATAGTTCATATAATTAAAAATAAACTCTTTCCGTCATATTTTTATATGTTGGCAAAGTTATTAAGCAATTATATAGTATAAATAAATAGATTGTAATAAAAATGTTAATCAATACAACTATATTTTTATAAAACTATTATAATATATAATGTTATTATTCTATTGTTTTAGCTTTTGTACAAATATCTTTATTTTCAATTCTTGAAAATTAATTGATGTTTGTAAATAATTGCGCATGTCTTGAAAATATATTTTTTATCGGTTTTCCTGAAAATTAAAAATAAAGATTGTAAATTTTGCTGAATTGCTTCACGATTAATAATTATTAGACTTTTTTTGTAATGGAAATCTGATTTAGTATTTAATAAAAAAATACTGATTTACTTCATCTTCATTATGCAATTTTTCTTCGATGTCAATGTTAAATGAATTTTGGTCAATTAATGTTTGATTATCATTATTTTCGTTTGATGTTAATGCTGACAACACAAATATTTAGATAAATATTTAAACAACATTTAGATTTAAAAAAAATAATAAGTTTATAATGAATCTCTTTTTTAAATAAATTGTTTTATTATTTAAAATGGTATAAAATATAATATACTTAATATAATAAACTCCAGAATAAATTAAAATATGACAGTAATTAATATTATTATCAAAAAATGTTTCATGCTAATTGTCCACATAGAATGGCTTGAAGAAAATGTTAGATGGTATTGTCATCAATTAGATATAATCAGTTTCTTTTTATGCATTGTTAGATTATACTGCTCAACTGATACCTGAGTAAATGAGATGATGTAAAAATATATATTACGCTAAAAGAACAGTACGCATTATAGTAGAATTTTTGTCTTTTTTACTTTGATTTAATGATATAAATTAATTTTTTTTTTTCATGGAAAATAGAAAATAAAAAATTATAACAAAGTTTTTTGAATGAATCTTTTTTTTAAATAAATTGTTTTATTATTTAGAATAATATAAAATAGAATTGTTTATGTGGGAATTAAGAAACATAGGTTTGAAGTTATGAAAATTTAGTATTCAATTTTAATAAGTAGGATTTTCGATTACTAGTAGTATTTTACTAAAAAACCTTAAAATGTAAAATTTTTTTTTTTATTTTTTGGCAACGTAATATCATGAAAAATATAAAATTATCAATATATTTTCGATTTTTAGAAATTTAGGGACAAGAAAAACAATAGTTTCTTATTACTAAAAATGGAAATAGGACTTTTAATACATAATTATCTCAAGTAATAAAAATATTCACTAAATTCTAAAAATACTTAAAATATGCGTCATTAAGTACCCAATTTAAACTGTAAAATTATCTAGTTACGCGGTTTTTTTATAGACCAAATATCTTAATACCAACTATTAAGTCTAAAATAATTAATAAACGAAAATTCACAAGTATCACATCTAACCTTTCAACTTATTCATGAATAAATTTTAATTGAACATTTTACCTTGTATAAGAAAGTCCACTATTTCTGCGATTCCGGTTGCAGTTTTTTTTTTTTTTTCTATAATAAAATAAATAATTACATAGGACGACAATCGTTTTCTTGTTTATAATTTTTATGTGAGTTCTGTAAGGAATTTCGTAACTGTTTCCTGATTTAGCTTAGTATTTTTGTGTATCACATTCAGTTTTTGAAATACTAATTCAAAATAATTAGTATCTAAGCAGTAATTACACAGTAAAAACAACAAACAATTTTTTCTTAAATAAAATTTATATTTTTTTAGTTTAATGTGTAATTATCCTAAAAATGATATGATCAAAAAATCCTAGCTAGAATCTACGTCGGATCTTTTTAAAATTCATATCAAAATTAAATAAAAATTGAAACGGTTTGTTATTTTTTGTTGTATGTTAATAAAACATTTAGCTGTGAAATGTTGGAATTTTCTGAAATTAGACAATTAGTTGTGTGGTAAAAAATATTTTTTTAATTGAATAAATTATAAAAAATAAAAAAATTTAAATGTTTTTTTATTTGTTGTTATGTGTTTTTAAAACATTTTTACCCCAGTCATAATTGATGTACAACATGGGCGCATTTAAAAATTCAAAAATTTTAATAAAAGGTTTGAATTCCCCTTTCCTATGACTAATAAACGTCAGTATAAATTAAAATATATCAGTAATTTATAATATTATTATAACATGCTTCAAGCTAATAGTGCACAAAGAAAGGCTTAAAAAAAAATAATGGTATTACATAGTATAGTATATATGGTAACATAGTATAAAAAAAATTATGTATATATTTTATTTTAATAAAATTAAAAAAAATTTATATTTTTTTATAATGAGTTTAACGTGTAGTTATTCTAAAACCAACAGTTTTATTTGGTTATAAAGCTGAATAAAATTATTGAAAATAAAGTAAAAAAAAAACCAAGATAAACGGGACTAAGCATAATTGATGTATAGCAAAGGCGAATTATGTATTTTTTGAATTTAAAAACATTATCTCCTTTAAAAAATTTTTAACTAATTTGATTACATATACAAAAATTTCTTAAAAGAAGTTGCTCAACTGATACCTGAGTAAATGAGATGATGTAAAAAAATATATTAAGCTCAATGAACAGTACATATCTTAGTAGAATTTTTGTCTTTTTTACTTTGATTTAATGATATAAATTAATTTTTTTTTTCATGGAAAATAGAAAATAAAAAATTATATCAAAGTTTAATCAAACTTTGTATATTCAATACACTTTACATTCTGTAAATTCTTAAGTACTACAATACATAACTCGTGTGTGATAATTACCTATCTCGATAAAATGTGGCAAATTTGATTTTCTTTTTTCCATTTTTTTATCTAAATATAAAAATGAATAAAGATATTATAATCAATAAAAAAATTGTTTCGAGATTAAATCATACACCGAAATATAAATAATGATAAATATAGTGGTTAATAAAACTGTGAATAATTTTTGCAGTACTGGTACAAAATTTGTTATATAATAATCATTTTCTTAAATGGATTATTATCTACTTTATAAAATAGTTAAATATGTAAGTTACCATATAAAAAATTAAGTTACATATTTAACTACATAATAAATAAAAATATTATTTAATTAAGAAAATGGTTAGTCAAAAACAATTTTTGAAATAGTACTTCGTTAGTTATTTACATTTCTAAATATATAGTAGTGAAGGAAGAACGCTGCAGAGTAACGTGTAACGATAAAAATAACATATACCACACTTCACCTTCTTTCTATATTTTAAAATAGTTATAATTTCCGAAACGTGTGAATTTTGTCTAGAAATATACGAAACTCTAAAATCACCAAAATTGATTTTCTTAACATAATTATTATTTTAAGAGAAATCGAATGTATAATAGATGTTATTAAAATAATCACATGTATTCCTCTATGGGCGATAGAGGATCAGATTTTCGAAAAACTTAAACCAAATGAAAGAGAAATAACTAAGGTATTTAAAAAAAAAAAAAAGTTATTTTAATTTGTTCATTTTTCAAAAAGTTTGAAGTTGACATTTTCAAGAAAATTTTTTTTTTAAAATATCGAAATTTACTAATTTTAAAAATCGTAATTTTTGGGGGGTTTTCACCATTTACATGGAACAAGGGAATTTTGTCAATTTTTAAGGCAATGTATTCATCTAGATACGCTATGTGACCTTTTAATGTATCGTTAAAAAAATCAGCCTGGCGATAGCTAAGAAAAAGTGGCGACAGATACAAAATAAAATCACCCCATCATAGCAAATTAATACTTTCTCAGCTCGCATCGAAGCTAAAAAATTAAAGTCTTTTATAATTTGAATTTTAAATTGATTTTAAAATTTCTTTTTTCTATTATGTCTAAATTACAATGGTTAGGATGGATCAGTCACTTTAATGTAGCAAATTTACAAAATATAATAAGAAATCAAATGAGTTAATTTGAACAATTTAAAAAAATATTAGAAATATTAACTTAAAAACAGAACGAAGTCGAGCTAGAAATGTTGAAAAAGTATTTATTTTGGCTTATAATACATAAGTGTTTATAATCCAACAATTAGGTCGAAATAGTTAAATTATCAATATTTAAGTTATAGAACTAATTGAACAATATAGATATGATTATTCCTTGATTGACAGATTTTACACTTAATAATAAATTCTTTATGTATGTTATTAATAATTAAAAAAACCTACTATTAATAATTTCATCTGGTACTTGTACATCAATCATCTGAGTGTCTATATTAAAATAGAAGCCTAAATCGTAAAATTTTTCTATAACAATCTTTTTAATTTCATCGTTGATATTTTTATTCAAATATTGGATTTTTTTTTCATTTTGTGGATTATGGTCAGTGAATCTCTTAAATTTTTGCAGCATTGAATCAGATTTATTTTGTTTAAATCTACATTCTTTAGATGCATTAAATATTTCAATTTCAATTTTTCTATTCTCTTCATTAAAAACACATTTCATTTTTGATAAGATTATTAAATCATTCGATAGTTCAGTTTGCGATGGAGGGTTATGAACAATATTGTTTTCAACTTTTTGTAAATGTGACAAATAATAATATAACATATAGTCATATGTTGTCTCATTTGATGGCATACCGTATAACGCATCCAATGCAATCAACGATTCTTTCATAACTGTTGCCAATAAAGTTATTTTCTTAATTATGTTCAATATTTCTGTGGTACATTCATGGGTATTATACTTTTCATCGAAAGTCTCTTGACATATGCTACAATAATGATTGACCAAAACAAATATATTTTTTAAATCATTAATGTATGCACAGCCAAGTATTAAAACAGCAGCACGTACTTTTTGATTGATCTTAGATTGTTTGACAATTTTATTAATATGATTTTCTAACGTATAATATGTATTACGATATTGCACACCCTTTATGTACGTTAATTGTTGCCATCCACTGTATTGGCAAATGCTATTAATGATTGTTGCTTTTCTATCCGTACAATTCATATTATTATTTTGTGCTTCCATAAACAGAACTGCATAGAATAATAAAACACAAATTTCAAGTAATTTAATAGAAGACATTTATAATCATACCACAAAAAAAAAAAACACTTATATTTATATATACGTATCTATAAAGTAATATTTTACCTCATTTGCTAAAATTATAAAAAAATATGTTGAATAATCGAATTATATAATGCTGCTCTAGTAAAAAAATGTTGAAAAACTCAATGTAATACTCAGTGTTGTCTTTTTACATCTTTATTTATTTAGGTGCCACTTTTATGTTAAAAATATTTCAGTATTTGTGGCAACTTAGTTTTATTTTTAAAAATATAAATCTGAATAAAACAAAACGTTTCAATTATTTCAAATCAAATTTTGTATGTTGGCGTGAATCCTATTTAATACAAAAAATGAAACAAAACCCCCTCTCGTAACTGTATATCCAACATACTACCCACGTTGAAAGTAAAGCTTTCAAGACAAACTGCTTGACATTCTCAATTGAAAATTAAACCAAAATCTATCTTAAAACTAAAATGAAAAATATGTCCATGGTTATTTTAGAAGACTATTAAGGAAATCGGGAAGGAGCAGAATAAATATAAAACATGTTAGATATCGTAACACGTAATATATCGGTATTTTTTCATGTTATCGATATTGTCTCGTTAATCAAATTTCAGATATTAAATAAATATTATACTTAACGATGGCGTATCATTTATTTAAAATATACCTAAGACTCCATCAATTACCTTAATCGCTATGTAAATTTACCGGAATTCCTCGACGTGCTACAAACAGATCAAGAGCGACAAGAAAGGCGCCCGAAGTTAAATATGAAACGATATCGATGTGTACTGCTTTTACGACCATGCAAATAAATAACTCTATGTATACCCTAGTAGTTTTAGTGTTGCGATGGCGTCGTTCCTTTACCAAATAAGGGCCTCCATATTCTATGCCGACATCTTGAAAAGCACGTTGTGAAAGAACACGAGAAATTGGCAAATCTCCTATCATTGGGTTTGAGCAAGCGGCCTTATGTCTTACACAAATTATAAAAGTAAATATCAGCTGCCTTACGGCGTCACGACCAGAAAATATCCAAAATTTTCTTCGCTGATACCAACGTTGATACGCTGAGAGTCTGAACAAAATAGGTATTTTTAAAAGTTTTTCGTTGATCTGTAGTTTTGGTTAATACAGTTCTTTGTTGTGTATACAATTTGTTATCTATGTTATTTGTGTTTGTGCGTTATTTCTTATCACTATTGTAGCCCTTGATATTTTCTAAAATTCGACAACTCCGAATAGTAGACTGCGATACTGTCGCCTCGGACAAACGACGTGTGTCTACGTCTAATACCTTAGCACTCATATAAAACAGTAAAAACCCATATAAATCTTCGACACCAACATGTGGAAGTTATGGCTGTTACATTGTCATTAAAAACATCAATAAAACCATTTAAAGTTGATAGTGACTCTGTAACTATTTGTTTGAATGAAAATAAACTATCTAAATGTACTAACGCTAATAGCCGTTGGTTTTCATACCGCTCCATATGAGCGCTCAATGCGTCATCATAGTTGGCGACAGAGATTAGATTAGATTTTATTGAGTTTAACGTCGGACCAAATAGACATAATCATAATAGATGAAATCAGTCGATTTTATTAAAATTTAATGCGATACAAAAGAATTAAATCAAAATTCAGTAAATAGGTTAGGGTGATTCTTAAAAATGTAATTGCGGCACTAGTTCATATTATTTATTTCGGTATTAAAGGCTCTTGGAAAAAATTTGAGAAAAATATATTAAGTTTTAAAGGACATTACCAATTAATAAATATTTTAGTTGTATTAAGTCATTTATTTTTTTATACAATAAATAATATTTATTGTATTTTCAAATTACATGATTTGTACAAGTATTGATGTAAATTGTAATCATGGTTAATAAACATTTTTTGATATTGTGATTAGTGATAGGGTAAAATTATGCGCGGCATAAAATCTAATGATAAGGAGCGCAATTGATAATAAATATCAAACTTTAATTTACGCTCGTTATCAATCGTAATTTTTTAACGCTGTGGCAGAAATTTTCATGTAAACTGTAAGTAAGCTTTTTGTTTGTAGTTATCAATTGAATGTCTTTTAATTTTAAATCCATTAATTGCGTTTTAAATATAATATATTTAAGACAATAGGTATTATCTATTGTCTTCTTTGGTTAATATAAATATTTTTTTCTGCTTAATTATGGTAACCAATAGTATATCAAGTATGTTAACCAGAAAAATGACTGAAATATGTTTAGTAGGTCAAATTTCACCACATTTAAATTAGTCTAAATTGCCTTCCAAAAAAGAAGTCTTGAGCCTTTTTTTTATAACAAAAATATCATGAAAGATGTTATAATTAAAATAACAAAAATTAATAAAATAAAAATAATGAAATAATGGGGACTTGGGTTTTTGTATAAGGTGAGAACCTGATGTTGTGGTTCTATCAGGGTCGTATGATTCGAGGGTTTAGAACGACAAAGACAAGTAGATATAAAAATAATAACGCAGTACCTCTAATTGAGGTGTAATACACTTTTGCTTGGTTAGTTTCAATTGTCCTAACTAAGAGGCAACAAAACGTCAGAGCCAGTCCACAGATTATACATTTTTCATTTATAGTTGTAAGATGCGTAATGCAAAGTATTGAGCATATTACGACAAAGCAAAAATTAGAAATTCAGCTCATCTTACCGCTGTATATGTAATGCAAATTTGGGAAAAAGCCAATGTACCCACTAGACTAAAAATACACGTAATCAAAAAAATCGAAGATCTTTTTAAAGAATGGCAAAAATTAAAGAAAAATAAGGAAAATAAGCAAAAATATCTGAGGGCCTAAAACAAAAAGAAAATAAATATCAAAAATTACTTGAATACTTATTTGATATTACTCACGCAGAAGCTTTAAATAAAATTCGCATTCCAGAAGATAGAGAATTTCTCTTATTACAGAGAAAAAAAGGACGCCTCGGTAAAATTAGTAATGTAGATAAAAAATTGACAAAAAAAGAAGCAAAGGCTGAAGAAAGACTTGAAAATTTCAAAAAAAGACGCGAAAAAGAAGAAAAATCTTTTGAATTACTCATTGAAAAATCTCATATAGTGTTGTCTTCTGGTTCAAGTGAAGATAGTGAGTTATCAGATAGTAACTGTTGTTTTTTAGGTGAACCATCAACTAGTAAAACACCTCCAATTAAACGAGGTAGAAAAATACTTTTGGATGAAAACTTAGCTACTTGTCTTGATGTTGCAAAATTAAGTGATCGGAAAGCTACTGTAGTATTAACAAATACAATTAAGCGCCATGGGTTTGATCCTTTAAAATATAATGTGAATTATTCTTCTATCCGTCGTCAACGAATACAATGTAGAGAAAAAATTGCAGAGTCATTGAAAAAAACCAGAAGTTACCCTGACTATTCACTGGGATGGAAAGATTATAGAAGATATTATTGGACATGACACTGTTGACCAGTGGCTGCGCTAGCATTTGCGGGGCCCTGTGCGACACGTGATTTGTGGGCCCCTCCCAAATTTTTTTTAAGGATCTTTTTTTTTTTTTGGTCAACCGAGCAAAATATCGGGTGGGCTAATTTGGGGTCACGTGATTTGCGAGGCCACAATTATTGAGAGATATGAACATTAAAAAAAGAGGTGCAAAATTATGCATATTCAATGCTTTTTAAAGTAGATTTTTATCATTACTACTGTTTTAACGACTTCAGTTTTCATATACAACATACAGCTAATCTATTAACCCATGTTTCAGCATCACTGTTTTTAATAATTTAAAAAAAAATACCTGTTGAGATACATATATATATACATATATGAAATATATATGTATAATACAATAAATTAATATAGTTATTTATATTAAAGTTATGGTTAAAATGACATTCCAAAATGAACTATTCTGCTTTTTTACTGACTGAAGTCTTCAATCAGTTCCTTGAAGTCTAAACTAGATGAAAGTTCATTTTCAATTGACAGGATTGCGTGGGCCGAGAGTCTGTCTTGAGCCATCGTGTTCCTTAAATAGGTTTTTATCAATTTTAATTTGGAAAAACTTCTTTCGGCTGCCGCAACTGTCACAGAAATTGTAGCAACAATTCTAAGTGCAATACTTATATTTGGATAAATTTCACTCAAATTGTTTTCTACAATATACTTCAATGCCCGTACTATCCCACTTTGTTCAATTGTTTCTTTTTTTTTTGATGAGCTTCTACTTCTACTAAAACACTTGAAAATAGTTTTAGCTCTTCAAAAAAGTCTACTCCGTCTATGTTATGGTTATTTCCTATTGATAGTGTAACTTGCAGATCTTTGCAGTTATTTAACAACTCTTCTTCAGACATAGTGGAGGAGAGGTTCATTATGTCATACAAAAAGCCAAAATTATTTTCATGGCATTTCAAAGCTTCTTGTCCGGATTTTATCCACAACCACATAAAAATAGCTAATTTTAAATCTATCTTTTGATGATAACTCTGGTGTGTCATCTGTAGCTTCATAGCCAAAGTGTCTCCTTTTCCGTCTTTGTCTTGTAGACTTAAAATTGATTTCACTAAGGCCTATTTCTTCTGCTACTTCTTTACCTGTCACTAGTGCAAACTCAAAACCCTGATCCCTATACTCATCTAACCATTTCAAGAATACCTTTAAATGATTTATTGCTGCATCTAGATTCATACTTCGACTTTGCCATATTTTACTAATAACGTGAATTTTCACCAGGATATCGTACCAAACTACTAATGAAATAATGAACTCAAATGTCGAGATTTCATTTTCTAACGAATGACATTCACTTATAAGTAACAGTCTGTGCTCTTTTCCCGTAGACTTGACAGAGCGTCACAAACCTTACTCAACTGGAACCTGACTGCTTTTACAGACTCTACTCTACACTCCCATCTAGTTTCTGAAAGAGGCTTGACTGAAATATCTACATGTTCTTTAAGTATACTCTATCTGTAACTAGAGCATGAAAATATTGTGTACAATCTTTGCAAGGTTCCAAAAAAAAAAAACCGGTACTGGTTGCTGGGCTGATCTCTGTTCTAGCTGCAGTTCTAAAGTAGCAGACACTGATTGGGGGGTTAATGAAGATGGATTTGCAGGGGTAGAATGATTATGTGCTTCAGGGCTTTCTAAACTTGCACTGTGTAATCCTAATGGACCACAAGTAACAGTTTTATTTGGAATTTCAATATCTCTACCGTTCTTAGAAGTTTCAGCTTTTAAAAACTTGGTTAATGTGTTACGAAGCTGCCCTTCAAGTACTTTCCTTTTTTCATTTCTTTCTCTTTGGGCACTTCCAGAATCATATTTTCTACCAATATCTCGATTGCGGGAAGCCATTGAAAAGTCTAACATGAAAAAATCAAATTATCTTATAATTCAAATAAAAAATTACCCTTTTTATTATCATTTATCAATAAACCATTTTTTTAATTTTTTTAAAATTTTATGAAATTAATTTTTGTTAAATATTTTATTTTAGTGATAATTGAAAAAAGTTAAATTTCATTTAAAATGGAAAATTGATTTAACATGAACCTAAAACTGAAATGAAAACATATTTATAATATATAAAACTTTATAAGTCAATAAAGAATGAACTATTTTTAATTTTATACAACATAGGGTGATCGTTGAAAAAAAAATATTTAACAATAAATAAACTATTTATTACCGTACAATGTACATGTTATATTAATTTATTTAGCATAAAAAAATTACATAATGTATAATTGCATATAGAACAAAATTGAGGAGCGTTTACCTCAAATTATCAAGTTATTTAAATGAGTTATTTAAAATTTAGCTTAAAATAATTTTAATTAATAACAATTATTGTGGTTTGGGTAGGAATTCACAATAATTGAAAAACAAAAAATATGTCAAAACTAATAAATTCTTCGCTTTGTTTAGAAGCGTTTATCATGCGATTGTACGCTGAAGTTACTTAAAGAAATCTACGCGGTCACAGAAATGAATAAGAATGACCCATCACTAATATCTGATTTGGAAATTAGTTCGCGCCAACTAGATTCCCATGATCACAGGGCTGTGATTGAAGCTTCGGTTGACCAAGACGGGGTCGAAGAATTCGAGTGTATTGATTCTCCAATGAGCGATGTAATGGAAACGCCTATTTTTAAAATAAATTCAATATACTAATAGTAGCCAACTACTTCCACAAATAGTATGGCCACCTCTATAATGCCTCAACCACAATATAAAACCTATTTTAGGGTGATTCTTATAATAAAAAAAAAAAAAAAAATTACAAATTCTGAAAGAGGGTTGGGTTGGGTTTTCCAAAAATAATGGGTAAATGTGTAATACAAAGACCCAAAAGTAAAGTAAGTCAGTAACTACTGTAAAGTTGTTTTTTGTTTAAATAAAGTATTACTTTTGCAAAAATACAAAAAAAAAAAAAAATAACCAACAACAAAAAGATTCGCACTAGCTAATGATCAACAGTTGGCGTACAATTAGTATACACGTACCTTTTCAGAGAAGAAAAGTTGGAATAAAAAGCAAAACGACTGGAGACAATAAAGTATTACGAAGGTTATATAACCGAAAACGGACGTGGAAGTGTCACGGAGATGACTAGTTCAGCGTATTATTGCGGCAGGTATTCGACGCTAGGCATTAGTTGGGCTTTACACTACGACGATAACGCGTGTGTGTAACGATCCGGTTTACATTGGGGTGGTGGCCGAGAAGGAGCTGGCGCGACCGTGGGATGTCACACGGGTGACAACGCCGTAGCCGTGTAAAGTCATATATGATTCCAATAAAGCACACCAAGTGTATGGTAGTTGTTCTCTTATTTTTATAAGTAGACATTCATACCAAAATTTATCAAATGCTAGCGCAACGTCTAAGAAAACTGCGCAACAGTACTATTTTTCTTCAAGAGTCTGATGAATCACATTAGTGACTTGATGAACCTGATCGATTGTAGAGTGTTTATTACGGAAGTCAAATTGATGGTCAAGAAAAGCTGATTTTCCTCTATTAGTTGATTTATTCTTTTAAGAAGAATTTTTTCAAAAAGCTTAGATAAACAAGGTAAGAGCGATATTGACCTATAAGATGTTACCTGCTCTGGTGGTTTGCCTGGTTTTGGCAACATTATAACTTGAGCTTTTTTTCAAAGTTTCGGAACGTATTCATTTCGCAAGATTGTATTGAAAATGTCTGTAAGATAAACAATCGCTTTTTTAGGTAACTCATTTATCATTCTCTGGCTGATTTTATCGTGAAGGAATTCAAAAAGATTAGTTTCATTAGCATCCCCTTGTGATGGACAATAATTGGATGTGACAGTAAGGACATTAGTCCCATTATTTTTTTTATTAAATTTAAAGGAACCTCTAGATTAAACTCGTCGAATCGTCATCCGAGTATTTCGCGTCACACACTCTTTAATAATTATAATTACAGCTGTACCTCCACGTGCTCTGTTGGTAGGAAGTATGGTGGTATAAGTAACATAATTTTTTATTTTAAAAAAAGTCCATGATGCAAAGTTAATTTCAGAGATAAGAGCAATATCTATATTTTCATGATGTAGAAAGTTTTCTAATTCAAGTTTTCATTGTACTAGCCCATTAGCGTTCTTTGCAATAAGCCATATGGTACGGGTCATTTTTTATTTTTACGTTTGTTTTTAAGTTTAGGTTGGTTATTTTCTAACCTTTCTAATCTTTCAGTTAGCACTGATAATGTCTCAGTGACACTAGCTAAAGAAGTTATAACTTCTACAAATGGTATTTTTTTCATTGATTTTTTTGTTCAAAAGTTTGGGGTAACTTTGAGTTTTGAATTGATGTATTAGCTACTTCAGCGTATGATACCCTGGTTGTAACATGTTTTACTGGTATACTTTGTAGTTTTTGAACTGCTGTAATTTCGACAAACGCAAGGGCAATATATAAGCGTTTTTAACAACTACGTACCTGCAAGCACAGTAGAGCCATATAACAAGACGAGATATGATGGTGGCGAAGTTGCAAAAATCATAAAAAAGATCGACAATTACTGGATGTCGTACAACGATAAGTAATCATTAACGTAATGATTCTCTTCCATAACTGGTGGTGGTAGTGGGAGTGGCGTTATCAGTCATAACAAAAAAAATGTAACAAAACGCTCTCTCGTAACTGCTTATTCAACATAGACAAGAAAAGATGATATCTGACAGTGATTAAATATACTATCATAAAAAATGCATCGTTGCAAACCTGTAGTTAGTGTCTAATTTTGAACAGTTGTTGGATTATTTCAATATCAACATCAACTAATATTTCCTTAATTATATCCTGATTATTAGTTTTATGATTTATAAGATAATACATGAATATTAAATATTAAATATATACATATTAAAGGAATTAAATTTAGTATCAAATTGATATTTAATTGTCACTTTGAATAAGTTATAAGAATACTTCCACGGCTCCTTTGCTAGTCATAAGAAGCGATTAATGGTGGTTGCGTCAGGTCGAAAGCCGGCGTAAAAACTTTTGTCAAAAAGTACGAGGAGACCTGAGTTATATAAATGAATGTTGAAAGAAGACGAGGTAGAGAGAGACCAAAATATGAGGACAGCTGATGTGGTCGTAAATGATGTGGGATATCATGTCAAGTGGAAGTTTAGGATAAAGGTGGCCGACCCCGATTAGTTGCGATTAAGAAGAGAAAAAAGAAGAAGATCAAATTAATATTCAATACTCTGTGTTGTACTTTTCACTAAATAATTTAAAAACATTTTAAAGTATTTGTATATTGTGTTATCTCTATGGCAAACGTGTATCAAAACTATAAGTATGGATTTATTAAAAAAAAAAAAATAAGATAACATTTGTAAATAAACTATGTTTATTTATGTTAATACTGTATTTTTAAATGGAAATCATTAGGAAGTAGTTCAATGTATAATATAAACATATACAGGGTGGCCCACCACTCACTGACAACTTAAATCACTTTTGATCCAGTTAATATTTTTAGCTGATTTTTTTTTTAAATAATAGTTATACGTTAGGTCTATAGCTATATCTCAATAATTAATTTTTTTACATTTTATTAAAAATATTAATTATTTTTAAATTTTAAATAAAAAGTAAAAAAAAAATCTAAGATAGCTATTTTGTAGAGTAGAATTTAAGAAAAATTTTAGTAAAAAAATATCTTATTAATATTCAGTAGTAAATATTCTGTAGCGTTTTGAAGTTTGTGAAAATTTGAATTTTCATGTATTATTTTACGGTATTAAACATTGAAATACGTATTGAGAAAAGGACAGAAGAAAACGCTATCTTTTCAATATACTTTTGAATGAGAGTGATAAGTAATAATTGCCTTATCTAATTTCTTATCATGGTATTAATGCCAAGTTTGTAATGTATACACATTATCATCATATGTATACACAGTAATCATGAAAAGATAGCGTTTTCTTCTGTCCTTTTCTCAATACGTATTTCAATGTTTAATACCGTAAAATAATACATGAAAATTCAAATTTTCACAAACTTCAAAACGCTACAGAATATTTACTATTGAATATTAATAAGATATTTTTTTACTAAAATTTTTCTTAAATTCTACTCTACAAAATAGCTATCTTAGATTTTTTTTTTTACATTTTATTTAAAATTTTAAAATAATTAATATTTTTAATAAAATGTAAAAATATTAATTATTGAGATATAGCTATAGACCTAACGTCTAACTAATATTAAAAAAAAAAATCAGCTAAAAATATTAATTGGATCAAAAGTGAATTAAGTTGTCAGTGAGTGGTGGGCCACCCTGTATATGAAATCTCTATCTAGTTTTCCAGTAAAAACATTCATTTACTTTTATAAACCTAATATAACTGTTTTAATGTTATTCATACAAAGTTTTAATTTAAATAATAATTAAGGTTTTTATTCATCATAGTTCATATAATTAAAAATAAACTCTGTCCGTCATATTTTTATATGATGGCAAAGTTATTAAGCAATCATATAGTATAAATAAATAGATTGTAATAAAAATGTTAATCAGCACAATTATATTTTTATAAAACTATTATAATATATAATGTTATTATTCTATTGTTTTAGCTTTTGTACAAATATCTTTATTTTCAATTCTTGAAAATTAATTGATGTTTGTAAATAATTGCGCATGTCTTGAAAATATATTTTTTATCGGTTTTCCTGAAAATTAAAAATAAAGATTGTAAATTTTGCTGAATTGCTTCACGATTAATAATTATTAGACTTTTTTTGTAATGGAAATCTGATTTAGTATTTAATAAAAAAATACTGATTTACTTCATCTTCATTATGCAATTTTTCTTCGATGTCAATGTTAAATGAATTTTCGATTATCATTATTTTCGTTTGATGTTAATGCTGACAACACAAATATTTAGATAAATATTTAAACAACATTTAGATTTAAAAAAAATAATAAGTTTATTATTTAACGATGACTAGTCTATTATAAATAACTAGTCTAGTATAATAAAATATAACTATTTTATTAAAAAACCCTAAAATGTAAAATTTTTTTTTTATTTTTTGGCAATGTAATATCATGAAAAATATAAAATTATCAATATATTTTCGATTTTTAGAAATTTAGGGACAAAAAAAACAATAGTTTCTTATTACTAAAAATGGAAATAGGACTTTTAATACATAATTATCTCAAGTAATAAAAATATTCACTAAATTCTAAAAATACTTAAAATATGCGTCATTATGTACTCAATTTAAACTGTAAAATTATCTAGTTACGCGGTTTTTTTATAGACCAAATATATTAATTCCAACTATTAAGTCTAAAAAAATTAATAAACGAAAATTCACACGTATCAAATCTAACCTTTCAACTTATTCATGAATAAATTTTAATTGAACATTTTACCTTGTAATAGAAATTCCACTATTTCTGCGATTCCGGTTGCAGTTTTATTTTTTTCTATAATAAAATAAATGTTTGATGGTATAACATAGTATAGTATGGTAACATAGTATAAAAAAAAATATGTATATATTTTATTTTAATAAAATTTAAAAAAATTTATATTTTTTTATAATGAGTTTAACGTTTAGTTATTCTAAAACCAACAATTTTACTTGGTTATAAAGCTGAATAAAATTATTGAGAATAAAGTAAAAAAAAATAATACAAATGGGATAAAGCATAATTGATGTACAGCATAAGCGAATTATATATTTTTTGAATTTAAAAACATTATTTCCTTTGAACATTTTTAAACTAATTTGATTATATATACAAAAATTTCTTAAAAGAAGTTGCTCAACTGATACCTGAGTAAATGAGATGATGTAAAAAAATATATTAAGCTCAATNTTATTTGGTTATAAAGCTGAATAAAATTATTGAAAATAAAGTAAAAAAAAAACCAAGATAAACGGGACTAAGCATAATTGATGTAT